ACTTGGAGGAAATACGAGCATGGATATGAATCTAGCTTCTCCGGTAGCAAAAACAATAACAATATTAAGAACAAAGTAAAAGAGCAATTTTATAGAATGAGAACTGATTTTTGCTTTTGTGTACATAATGTTTCGTGTCCTACTATGGATCCTAATTCTCCTATCTTTAGCCCTATTTAGGGAGACAAGATACCCAGATCAAGCTCCTCTTGAATGAGAATAAAATCGCCATTGATGGCTGCATAACGGTTGATCATAAATACAGAGATTCCTTGTAGCGGTTGCTCATTGAATGTTGTGCTTTTAAACCGATGCCTTACTTTCAAATTTTTGTTTTCGGATTCGATGCCTTCGGGATTCGCTCAGCACCAGTCAGATGCTTGTATTTGGTGCCAATTATTTGCTCACTCACATCTTACCTGTCTTTTGTTGCACGTGTCATCTCGTCATTCGTCCAACTATCGCTAACTAATTTTACCACAACAACCTTCATTCGCAGCATAACAAGTGAAAGTGAGATTTTCATTAAAAATTACAAGTGTAAAAAAAAGGTTCAGTAAAGGTTCCCAAAGATTGAGTTTTAAAGCTTGTACATAAGAATATGCTCTAAGAATGACATGACTGAATGTTTTAAGACAAGTCGGGTTTTTATCTAGAGTTAAGCAAATTTTAACATTCCGAACCCATATTGTTCATGTAAATAAAGAAAATTTGAATGTTATTTCTTTAGTTCGTATTTTATACTCTCTTTGTTTCACTTGACATGATAATATTCTACTGATTGAGAAATCAATGGTTTTCTCTTCTAGTACACTTTTTTTCCTACTGTTTAAGAAATATTTTTAATTATAAAAAGTAGTGACTCAATTAAAGACGGTTTTGCAAAAATCGAAGATGTCTAATAAAAATAAATATGTTGTATTTCTTTTTTTTGGTAATTATCTTTTTGTATTAATCACCAAGAATTATATCTTTACAAAGCCATAGCTAACTAGACTTGTTAGCTATCATAAAGAAAAACAACTCTATCTGTACTGTACACAAGCTCTAATTTTCTATAAGATGAAACTATGGATCAGATTTCTAAGTCCAGTTGGAGCTCGAATACTGCAGACACACGCAATTTCTTTAGCTATCGAATCCCATTTTCTACTGCTTTTCTAAAATATTCTCATATTTCTATCGATCCAGATATTGTGTACAACTTCTGTAGAGACCCTTTTGAAAATCTGGGCTTTTTGTGATGTCCTTTGGCTCTATTGATCACTTCTTGCACAGGTTATTTTCTGACAGTCATATTGAAGGTTTGATCTTGTATCCATTGTATTAATCTATTCAACATGTCTTTTAGCAAACTCACACTCCATAAACAAGTGCTCACTTGTTTCATCAAAGTTCTGGCACATAGCGCATTTGAATTAACCACAACTCCCCATCTAGTTAGCCTGTCAGCAGTTACTAATTTGCCTTGCATTTGCAGCAGCCATAGAGTGAACCTGGCTTTTGGCCTAGCAGGGTTCTGGAAGACCAAGGATTTCCATGGAACTCTAGGTTGATCTCGAACATATATCTGTCTCGTGATACTCTTTCCAGCAATGTGTTGATATTGGACTTGATTCAGTACATTCTTTGCTTCCATAATTTTTCTTACCATCCTAACATGCCTATTGTGGTACATGCATACCCTTCAGTTGCTTCCCTTTAATGTAGTACGTGTGAACCCATTTTATCCTCAACTTATCTTCTTTGTGAGCTAGATCCCAACATATATTAGTTGTTGCAGCTTTATTCCATATATGCAAGTTGATCAAATTCAGTCCTCCAACACTCTTGGGAGTGCATACTCTATCCCATGCTACTAATACTTTTCGTGTAATTATGTTACTTCTAGACCATAAGTAGCTCCTGCAGTATGCATCAATAAGTTTGAGTACTTTAGCAGGCAGCACAAGCCCAATATGCTCAGATTCCAAACAAAATTAATTGTATTAGTTGAGCCCTTCCTGCATAGGATAGCTTCTTAGCCATCCAAGATGAGATTTTTATAACTATCTTTTCAATTAGAGGTTGCTACTGAATCAGGGATAACTTCTTTGTAGAGAGTGGAATACCAAGATACTTGAACGACAATTCACCACTAGAGAACCCCAAAAGCTGAAGAATTCTATCATTTTCTGCGATATCCCTCCTAAATATATAGAACTCTTTTCAAGATTTGCTTGCAATCTTGAAGCTGCAGAGAATTGTATGAAACACTGATGTAAAGCCTTGACAGAGGGAAGATCACCCCTAACAAAGAGAATAAAGTCATCTGCAAAAGATAGGTGTGTAATACCTAACTTTGCACACCTATGATGATAGTAAACTCCTATTTTTTTATTAGCCCGAGTAAGTTTCTACTAAGATATTCCATTACTATAACAAAAAGAAAAGGGGACCTAAGATCTCCTTGCTTGAGCCCTTTAGCAGCATCAAAAGGTTATGATGACTCCCTATTAACTAGGATGATATATCTAACAGTCTTTACATATTTCATGACCCATGCTGTAAACTTAGAAGGGAATCCCAACTTTGCCATTACTTGCTCCAAGTAGACCCATCCTACAGAGGCATAAGCCTTTTGGAGGTCAATTCTAATCATGAACCGGGAGAAATATGTTTTCTTTGTATAGGATATAACTAGTTTATGAGCTAGAATAATGTTATCACCTATTTTCCTCCGATGAACCTAGCCTATGCATTACGTACTATATCTGGAACAACCTTTTGAATCTTTGCTACTAACACCTTGGATATTTACTTGTATAGAATAATGCAACAAGCAATTGACCTGTATTCTTTGACAGTAGTTGGTTCTCAGTTTTTGGTATTAGAGTAATAGATGTGCAATTTATAGCCTTGTAAATCTTGCTACTAGTAAAGAAATTATGTGCTGCCCCTATTACCTCCTCCTTGATAATGTGCCAAGATTTCGTAAAGAAAGTGGCATTATATCCGTCTATACCTGGTGTTTTGTCATCCCCAATAGACTCTAAGTCTGCCCGAATTTACCTCTCTGTTACTTCATGATGTGTGGCTATAATTCATAGTTTAGCATATTATTTGCCTTGCATTTTTATACGTTTTAATGACAAAGTACACCTTATTTGCATGTAATAGGGTCTATTTTATGTGTAGGTGAATTGGAGATGAAAGTAGAAGAAAAAGGAGACCTACAAGTCAAAAGCGTGTGCGGGAGCATTGAATGAGAGAACCTGGTGACGCCAGGCTTGAAGCTGGTGTTGCAAGGCAAAGGCCAAGCTGAAGCTGGCTTTAGGCTGGCGTTGCAAGGCAAAGGCCAGGCTGAAGCTGGCATTAGGTTGGCGTTGCAAGGCAAAGGCCAGGCTGAAGCTGGCGTTAGGCTAGCAACGCCAGGCCTGGGGCCAGGTCCAATCCGAGTTTTGAAGACTTAATTCATTTTCGGGTTTGATTAGGACTTGGCCTACACGTTTAGGTCTTTTCCTACACATATAAATAGACCTAAAAACGCCACTTGGATGGAATTGTTGGCGACCGGAGGCAAGAATATCACGTGGACAACTTTTGGAGGAGAAAATCATCGAGTTCTTCATCCCTTTATTATTTCTTTGTAGTTTGTTTATGCAACATACTTGAAAAATTGTTACTACGATCATGTGTGGCTAAAACCCACAGTTTTGGGGTTGTAATTTAGCCATGAATATTATTATTTTACGTTGACTTAACCTTGATTACAATTCAATAATATATATTGTTTCTTCAATTCTGTGATTAATTGCTTAATAGTCTGGCCAACAGTTAGGTTCTATTTACTATCTATGCTATGCTTGGGAAAGCCGTGTTTAGATTAGAGAAGAATTGAAGAGAGCACGATCTTAACTCTTGGGGAGAGGGGCGCGAATTCGTGGTAAGGATAGAAATATACGTAGTCACCGTGCTTAATTAAATATCATAATCTTAATGCGTTCTTGATAGATTGATTCCATAGGAATATAGGCATTAATCTATTTTGAATAGGTGAGTAGTACTTCGGGAGAAGGTTATGAGAGCAATTGTNGTGAGAGCAATAGTTCGATTAATTAGCAACCATGAGTGAATTGTATGAAATGGAGGGTTAACTAGAACACAATAGGATTGGTGAATCGATCACAACCTTGGAATATTTGTCTCTACTGAATACACCACAATTATTTTGCTACTTGATAATTTAGTTATTAATTAGAATGATAGTTTAGTATAATCACATCATTGAACTCGATTTTGGCTTGACTGAATAACAATCTTGGTAAATTTAGTGGGTAGTTGATACAAGTCTCTGTGGGTTCGATACTCGACTTATCATTTTATTACTTGTACGACCACGTAAACTTACGTGTGCGTTTGGGAGAAATGGGAGCAACAAGTTTTTGGCGTCATTGCCGGGGACTTGAATATAGACTACTTTCTAGTTTTTTCTTTAATTGTTTATTTCGTCAAGTCTAACGTTACTTGATTGTTGCTCTGGTCTCAGGAACTTTGATTGAATGCGTAGGGTCAGAAGCCAGGACAGACTTCAAGGCTTTGACCCCGAACCTGAGAAAACATTTCATAAGAGGTTGAGGGAAGCAAGGGATACAAATAATCTTCAAGCACTCATTCAATTTCATGTGAACGTGGCAGAGGAGCAACACATGGCTGTTCAGGAGGTGGCAATGCCCAGCATTGCTAATGTCACCTCCAGCATCGTGAAGCCCAGAATCACTGGGCACTTTGAGCTGAAACAGAGCATGATCCAGCTACTTCATGCGAATGGGCAATTTATGGGTCTTCCACATGAGGATCCACAACAGCATATAGCTCACACTTTCATAGAAGGGCTACATCCTGAAACAAAAATTATGGTAGATGCTGCAGCTGGAGTTCAAGTGTTAGAGAAAAGCTTTGACGAGATATATGCATTATTGAAGAAATTCTCCAAAAGCAATCCGGATTGGCAAGGATAAATGGGCAGACACACGGTGCAAATATCTGCAGGGGTTCTCGAGTTAGATGTCATCTCGGCATTATCAACGCAAATTTCTACACTGACCAACCAAGTCAATCAGATGACCTTGGTTATTAACAAGCAGCAAGCTCAACCAGTGCAACTGGTTCAAGTGTTTTGTGAAGTATGTGGAGAGGGTCACATGAGTGACTTATGCCCAGTAAAACCAGAGTCTGTCTGCTTTGTGGGTAATGCAAATAGGGGTCAGGCGAACCAATATGGGAACACTTACAATCCCAACTGTAGAAACTAACCAAACTTCTCTTGGGGTGGAAATCAAGGTGCTCAAAATCAATACCGACCACAAGCACCTCAACAACAATATAGACCACCTCAGACTGAACAACATGCAATCTCAACAAGTTATATTGAGGAAATGATGAAAATATTGATGGCTGACCAGCAAGCCCACACCGCAAAGATGATAAAGAAAGTGATGGTTGACCAGCAGGCCCAAGCCACAACAATGAGAAATTTGGAGCGCCAAGTGGGACAACTGGCTAGTGCCCAAAATACTAGACCAGTTGGAGCTCTTCCAAGTGACACTGAAGCTAATCCTAAGGCATCCATTAATGTCGTGTCATTGAGGAATGGGAGACAATTAGAAGAAGTCTAGTCGAAAAAGAGAAAACATGTGACTTTTAATGAGAGCCCAGCCACTATAGAATCAAAATCAGAAAAATTAAAGGAGTGAGAGAAGCCAGCTGAAGAGGCGGTGGCTGAGCAACCCCCACCATTGGTTGCGAGGCCACCACCTCCATTTCCACAAAGATTGTAGAAAGTGAAGGATAATGCAGCGTATAAAAAGTTTCTTGATATTTTGAAGCAGGTGCAAATTAATATTCAATTGGTAGACATCTTGCAAGAAGTGCCCAAATATGCAAAATATATCAAGGACATAGTGGCAAATAAAAGAAGGCTGACCGAGTTCGAAACTGTGGCACTCACTGAGGAATGTAGCTTAAGAATTCAAAGCAAGCTACCTCAGAAATTGAAGGATCCGGGTAGTTTCATTATCCAAATCTCGATTGGTAAGCATGCAGTCGGGCGAGCCTTATGTGATCTTGGAGTGAGCATCAATTTGATGTCGCTATCTGTGTCCAGACAGTTGGGGTTGGGTGAACCATGCCCAACAACGGTAATCTTACAGTTGGTTGATCACTCTCTTGCTCATCCTGAAGGAGTAATTGAAGATGTGTTAGTTCAAGTGGGTTCTTTCATATTCCCTGCTGATTTAATTATCTTGGACTACGAGCCTGATCAGGAAGTCCCATTTATTTTGGGGCGTCCATTTTTAGACACGGGTCAAGCTATTATTGATGTTTGCAAAGGAAAGATAACGATGAGAGTAGGCGATCGAGTGGAGGTATTCAATGTATATAAAGTACTCAGATTACCAGCCCACTATGAAGAGCTATCCCTGATTTCTGTGATGGAAAGTGATGCTAAATCATTAGTGCCTTATATGAGCCCTATAGATCCTCTTGAACGAGCTTTGATTGGGGATGAAGAAGACATCGAAGATGAATTGACGGGAGAAATTGAGCAAATACTTGATATCTCCTGCAATTATGTCCATGGGTTTGAAAAATTTGAGGAGTTGGATAGGCATATCACTCTAACCCCTCCTAAGCCATCTATTGAAGAAGCTCCAAAGCTAGAACTTAAGCCCCTACCAGTACATCTGCGCTATGCTTATTTGGGGAACTCTGAGATATTGTCCGTGATTATCTCATCCAGCTTGACTAATACACAAGAAGAAAAATTGCTCAAAGTACTTCACGAGAATAAAAAGGCTATTGGGTGGACAATTGCTGACATCAAGGGAATCAATCCATCGTTTTTCATGCATAAAATCTTCTTGGAAGATGGACACCGCCCTAGTGTTGAGCAGCAAAGGAGTTTAAATCCAATTATGAAGGAGGTCGTAAAAAAGGAAGTAATTAAGTTGCTCGATGCAGGTATCATCTTTCCTATTTCTTACAGCAATTGGGTAAGCCCAGTTTAATGTGTGCCCAAAAAGGGGGGATGACTGGGATTGCGAATGAGAAAAATAAGCTAATTCCTACTTGCACTGTGATGGGGTGGAGAGTATGTATCGATTATAGAAGGCTCAACAAAGCAACCCGCAAGGACCACTTTCCACTTCCATTCATTAACCAAATGTTGGATAGATTAGCGGGGCATGAATATTATTGCTTCCTTGATGGTTATTCAGGATACAATCAGATTGTCATATGCCCAGAGGATCAGGAGAAGACCACTTTTACTTGTCCTTATGGCACTTTCACCTTCAAGCGAATGCCGTTTGGTCTTTGTAATGCACCAGCTACTTTCCAGAGATGCATGATGGCTATTTTCACTGATATGGTGGAAATATTTGTGGAAGTTTTTATGGATGATTTTTTGGTCTTTGGGTCTTCTTATGATGATTGTTTGAAGAATTTGAGCAAGGTGTTGGTCCGTTGTGAAGAAACAAATCTGGTATTGAATTGGAAAAAATGCCATTTTATGGTGTAGGAAGGCATTGTGTTGGGTCACAGAGTGTCTAGGAGCGGCATTGAAGTTGATAAGGTGAAGGTGGAGGCGGTTGAAAAATTACCTCCACCTATTTCTGTGAAGGGTGTCTGAAGTTTCTTGGGACACGCGAGATTCTATCGACGCTTTATTAAAGATTTTTCTAAAATTGCTACTCCTTTGTGTAGGTTGCTTGAAAAAGATATAACTTTCAATTTTGATGACGCCTGCCTCAAGGCATTTGAAGAACTCAAAAAGAAGTTGGTGGATGCTCCCATTATTGTGGCACCAGATTGGTCCTTACCATTTGAACTTATGTGTGATGCGAGTGACCATGCTATTGGGGCAGTACTAGGCCAGAGGAAAGACAAGCTATTTTATTCCATCTACTATGCGAGTAAGACTCTTGATGATGCACAACTGAATTACATCACCACTGAAAAGGAGTTGTTAGCCGTTGTGTGGGCCTTTGAGAAATTTCGGGCATACTTGGTGAGAACAAAAGTCATAGTCCATATCGATCATGCAGCAATCAGGTATTTATTTACAAAAAAGGAATCTAAGGCTAGATTGATGCGCTGGGTTTTGTTGTTGCAGGAATTTGATGTAGAAATACGAGATCGAAAGGGCACAGAGAACCAAGTAGCTGATCATCTATCAAGGCTGGAAAATCACGACCACATGTAGGAGGGAGGCCAAATTAAAGAAGTATTTCCTGATGAGCATCTTTTTGCTATCACCCAAGACCCTCCCCCATGGTACGCAGACTATGTGAATTATCTTGTGAGTGGGGTACTTCCTCCTGAAATTGAATCTGAAGCTAGAAAGAGGTTTCTACATGATGTGAACATCTACTATTGGGATGAGCCATATTTGTACAAGCAATGTGCTGATCAGTTGATGAGGAGATGCGTTCCAGAAAAGGAGGTAGAATTAGTGTTGTATGATTGTGATGCATCACCTTATGGGGGCCATGATGGAGGAGATAGAACAGCTGCAAAGGTATTACAATCCAGTTTCTTTTGGCCAACTTTATTCAAGGATGCCCATGCATTTGTTAAGAAGTGTGACCAGTGTCAGAGAATAGAAACAATCACTATGAGGCATGAGATGCCTTTGAATAACATCCTAGAGTTTGAGATTTTTGATGTATGGGGGATAGATTTTATGTGATCATTCCCATTGTCCAGGGGAAACAAATACATTTTGCTAGCAGTTGACTGCGTGTCAAAATAGGTAGAGGCGATCGCATTGCCAACAAATGATGCCATGGTGGTAGCTGTGTTTGTGAAAAATAATATATTTTCGAGGTTTGGGACTCCACATGCTTTGATTACTGATAAAGGGACACACTTTTGCAATCGGTTGTTGAATAACCTTCTAGCTAAATATGGAGTCCGCCATAGAGTTGCGACAACATATCATCCTCAAACAAGTGGACAAGTTGAGGTGTCTAATAGAGAAATAAAGCAAATCTTAGAGAAGACGGTGAGTGTGAATAGAAAAGAATGTGCTACAAAGTTAGATGATGCCTTGTGGGCATATAGAACTGCATACAAAACGGCAATTGGGACGTCGTCGTATAGGCTAGCTTATGAGAAGGCATGTCACTTGCCTGTTGAACTTGAACACAAAGCATATTGGGCCATTAAGAAGTTAAATATGGACCTTGAAGCCGCGGGCGAGAAAAGACTTTTGCAGTTGAATGAGTTAGATGAGTTCAGGCTGCACTCTTATGTAAATGCTAAGCTTTACAAAGAAAAGACAAAAAGATGACATGACAAGCATATCAAGCCGCGTCACTTCGAGCCAGGCCAACAGGTATTATTGTTCAATTCTAGACTAAAGCTATTTCCTGGGAAGTTAAAATCGAGATGGTCATGCCCGTTTGAGGTAGTGAGAGTAACTCCTTATGGTGCAATTGAGCTGCGAACTTTGAATGGTGAAAGAAATTTTTTGGTGAATGGACACAGAGTAAAGCATTATTGGCGAGGAATAATTGATCGTGAGAAGACCAAGGTTGTACTCGTTAATGAGTAAGCGAGATTCTGAGTCATGCCGCGACGTTAAATCAGGCGCTTGTTGGGAGGCAACCCAGCTTTACTTCTTTCTTTTATTTTTGTTTTTATTATATTATTTTTTAGTGTTTGTTTTAATTTTATAGGATTATAATCATAGGAGGCAAAGCTATTGGAAGAGTGCAAAAGCGAGTTAGATGGTGAGAACTAAGTGTGGAGTGCCACACAAAAGATCATACATGGGGAAAGTCTGAGTACCTGTGAGCCGTTATTGCTTCGTCCTTTGGCCTTTCAGGGAGTTTCTTGTCCACCTTCATTATTGTTTTGCTTATTTTTGCATTGGGGACACTGCACTCTTCTAAGTGTGGGGTGGGAGAATTCTCTAAATAATTAGTAGTGGATGTAGAAAAATGTTAATTTTTTTTCCCGAAGTTGTGTATTATTTAAGAAAAAAAAAAGTAGAAAAGTTTGACTTCTCCCGACGATGGATCTCATTTGACATGTCTCTTGAGGGATTTAAGTTGAAAGAAAAAAAAAACAAAAAGATTTTCTTTTGTTAGGTAGTGTAATAATTCCCCCTTGGTTTTTTTTTTGTATCGCGGTTCTTTTTCAAGGGTTTTATTTGAACCCGGTGTAGGTAGTTTTATTTTTTAGGAGTAGGAGACACTGTGAGATGAAGTGAATTGGAGCAATATCTCTTGACTTTGTTATGCCTTGAGAATAGTGAGTACTTTGGTTGTGACGCTTAGGCCTAATTTTTGACTCTTGTATAAGTAGCTTAAATCGTATGATCTTAACTTTGCTTAACTTCTTTGACTAGAATCTCTTGATAAGTCCAATCCTGAGTGAGTTATGTGCCATGTGTGTGTGAGGTTTGTGTGTAATTCTGTGCATTGTATTTGATGTCTAGAACTTGCCCCGTGTGTTTGCAAAGCGAAATAGTAGTTTTGTTTAGTCTTGGAAGTGATATGGGTGTTTCTTTTTTGAATCAGTTATATAATTTACCCGCCTTATTGTTATGTATCGTAGTTAATCCCTTTGAGCCTGTAATCTTGTTTCTTTGGCAACCACATTACAAGCCTTACCCATTTGTTTGAATTAACCATCTATTTGAACCTTTTCACCTTTCATGAGCACTTGAATTGTTATGAACTTTGTAAAAGTTAAAGTGTGGGGTGGTTGGTTTGGCTTTTGAGTGAAACTAATGAAATAAAGAGAAAGGTGCACTGTTTTGAAAAAAATAAAATAAGAAAAGCCACTTGAATTGAAAAAGAAAGAAAAGAAAAAAAGAAGTCATATTGTTGTAAAAAATATTCCTTGATAGTGGTAACTCTTGATGTAATTGTGCTTAAAGAAGTATAGAGTTAATATACATTGATGTGAAGGTGGAGTTATGGTTTGACATAAGTGTGGGGTTAAATATTAAAGTGTATGTATTAAAGTACTTAGGGAGGTGTAGTCACTCTTATATCCAAATGTATCCTACCCGACCCACATCCTACATTACAACCAATAAAAGTCCTACTTGATCTTAGATTGAATGAGCTCGATTAGTCGAGTATTACACTACGGGCAAGCCTATGATGCATCTTTTGTAGCATATGAATGTTATTTCTGAGAGTGAGTGAATTCTTTCTAACTTGAGTTCCTGATTGTTCTTAAAATTTTATTGTGTGTGGAACTACTCTCTTTTGTTGTGTGAGGACACTTGATTCATGAAGGAAAGGTAATATCATTGACCTCTATGTTAGAGTAAGTGAGTGAATTGTGAGATAAAACATGGTACTTGTGAGTCAAATCTTGAGGTGAAGATGTTACACCCTTGTGCTTAGTCTATTTTAAAGATTCTTGGCATAATGAGTTAAGGGAATTACTTAATAGGTTGTGTCTATAAGTGTAGTTTGATTGCTCGAGGACGAGCAATATTTAAGTGTGGGGTATTGATGTGTGGCTATAATTCATAGTTTAGCACAGTATTTGCCTTGCATTTTTATACGTTTTAATGGTAAAGTACACCTTATTTGCATGTAATAGGGTCCATTTTATGTGTAGGTGAATTGGAGATAAAAGTAGAAGAAAAAGAAGACCTACAAGTCAAAAGCATGTGCGAGAGCATTGAATGAGAGAACCTGGCGACGCCAGGCTTGAAGCTGGCTTTAGGCTGGCATTGCAAGGCAAAGGCCAGGCTGAAGCTGGCTTTAGGCTGGCGTTGCAAGGCAAAGGCCAGGCTAAAGCTGGCGTTAGGCTGGCGTTGCAAGGCAAAGGCCAGGCTGAAGCTGGCGTTAGGCTGGCGATGCCAGGCCTGGGGCCAGGTCTAATCCGAGTTTTGAAGACTTAATTCGTTTCCGGGTTTGACTAGGACTTGGCCTACATGTTTAGGTCTTTTCCTACACATATAAATAGATCTAAAAACGCCACTTGGAGGGAGTTTTTGGTGACCGGAGGAAAGAACATCACGTGGACAACTTTTAGAGGATAAAATCATCGAGTTCTTCATCCCTTTATCTTTTCTTAGTAGTTTATTTATGCAAAATACTTGGAAAATTGTTACTACGATCATGAGTGGCTAAAACCCATAGTTCTGGGGTTGTGATTTAGCTATGAATATTGTTGTTTTACGTTGACTTAACCTTGATTACAAGTCACTAATATATGTTATTTTTTTAATTCTGTGATTAATTGCTTAATTGTCTCGCCAGCAGTTAGGTTCTATTTACTATCTATGCTATGCTTGGGAAAGCCGTATTTAGATTAGAGAATAATTGAAGAGAGCACAATCTTAACTCTTAGAGGGAGGGGGGGAGATTTGTGGTTAGGATAGGAATATACCTAGTCACTGTGCTTAATTAAATATTGTAATCTTAATGCGTTTTTGATAGATTGATTCCATAGGAATATAGGCATTAATCTATTTTAAATAGGCGAGTAGTACTTCGGGAGATGGCTATGAGAGCAATAATTCGATTAATTAGCAATCATGAGTGAATTGTATGAAAGAGAGAGTTAACTAGAACATAATAGGATTGGTGAATCGATCACAACCCTGCAATATTTGTTGAATACACCACAATTATTTTGCTACTTGATAATTTAGTTATTAATTAGAATGATAGTTTAGTATAATCACATCCTTGAACTCGATTTTGGCTTGACTGACTAACAATCTTGGTAAATTTAGTGGGTAGTTGATACAAATTTCTGTGGGTTCGACACTCGACTTATCATTTTATTACTTGTACGACCACGTATACTTGCGTGTGCGTTTGGGAGCAACACTTCATTACATAGTTCAAGCCTCTGCTAGTGGGTGAGGATCTTGCCATTCTTCATTTTAAGTTTGTTAACTGCTGATAGTACTTGGGAAGTTGCTCCTATCAAGCTCCGGTAAAACTGAATAATTTCTTCTATGATATCTTCTTCTTTAGTAAGCCTGGATCCATCTAAGGCACTAAGCTCCCTTATTTGTTTCCTATGACTTCTTTCTTTGACCACAACAGTGAAATTCTTGGTTTTAGAATCACCAAGTTGTATCCATTTAGCTCTGAATTTTTGCTGCATGATAATTTCCTCCACCATTGACCATTTCTCTAGATCCTTGAGAGTAGTTTTTTCCTGATCTCTTAGCTTGTCATCCCATTGATGGTTCATATGTTCTTGGATTACCTTTAAGTCAGCTTTGGCTTTATCAATCTTCTGAGAAATAGCTTCGAACTCCTCCTTGTTCAATCGTTTAAGTTCTGTCTTGAGGACCTTCAACTTCATCCATACATTCCTCATTTTTTCACTTGCTAACTTCCTTTGCCATATATCTTTTACTATAGGTAGAAAAGTGCTATGACCAGCCCAAATACTGTAAATCTAAGAGGGACTATAACATTTTGTGTGAGCGGCATCAAGAGTGATTAACATAGGTGAATGATCAGAGATATTAGGTACATCGTACTCCAGCACTACTTGTCCCCAGTGCATCATCCATTCATAGTTACCAAATGCTCTGTCCAGTCTGCAGCAGATTCTATCAAGTCCATGTTGTTTATTTGTCCAAGTATAATACACCCCTTCCAAGATAGTTTATTCACCAGTAAATCATGTATGCATTCTGAGAAATCTTTTATTTTCGAGAATAGAACAGGGTTCCCAAAGATCCTATTTTATGGATATAAGGGTGCATCGAAATCTCCACAAATAAGCCAAGGTACAGATACTCCTTGCGCCACTTCTTTCAAAGCCTCCCAAAGGTCTTTTCTTTGTTCACATGTATTGAATCCATAGATGATAGATAACATACAGTCAATTCCATCATTCATGCCTTTAACCTGACAATGAATCATTTGAGAGGTTTCCTTATTAAAACCTTAGATGACAGATAACATACAGTCAAACATACAGTCAATTCCATCATTCCTGCTTTTAACCTGACAATGAATCATTTGAGAGGTCTCCTTAATCTTGTCTACTATATATCTTCTTGTATCCCACATAATCCAAATCCTGCAATTGCTAGCAATTTGATAATTAGTCAGTAGTCCCCAGCCAATTTGAAGTTGCTATCATTCAGTTTTGGGCTTGCTTGCACTTCTTTCCGCTACTTATCATATTTGTGGAACTCTGTGGACTTGTATTTAATTGTAGCACCCTTTGTTGCTGTTTCTGTGAAGGAACAATGCCTTGTTGCAGCTGACCTTGGCCATCTGTCTGATGGCAAATGGGGCGGTGCAGGTGTGGGTGCGGGGCAGTGCGGGTTAAGCTATGCGGTGC